AAAAAAAAAAAAAAAAAAAAAAAGAAAGGCAAATTAAACCCTGGAAACCTATATGGAGCAATAATGACAAAAATCATTACCTTTAATAAAGAACAAATCTTAGGTCATCAAATAAGGAAGAATTCCAAAAGAAATCTGGGTAGTTTAGGTAACTCAAATATAGGCAATAAAATCCACAGAGCAAAATTTTTGCCTCACTAGCAATCTAACATGCAACCGAAAACAAGGTACTCTTTGCGGGGGAGGGAAAAAGTAATCAGGAATAAAATGAAATCACATGGCCTCTCCCAACACTGCTGGTGCAAGTCCATGAACTCTCTGGGCAGGCTTATCATAAGCCTTAGAAATATGCTTACTCTGGTCTAGCAGATCCATGAGCAATTTAAGAAGTAAATTAGACAAGTGTATGAAAATCTATACAATATTAATCAGCTCAATACTTTAGGAACAGTTTGCGTTAAGTTATGCTGTTAGTACTTTGAAACATACATGCACACATCCCACAAGTGTCCTATTTAATATTCAACTAATTTCTTCTAACTGCTTTGGGTCAGATTAATTTGGGAAAAATAAACAAATTTCTGGAAACAAGTAAGTTATTAAACACTTTGTTTATTGTGCTGCATTTGTAAAGAAAACAGACAGTGCACTCAGTAGAAAGAATAAAAATGTATCAGGGCTTTATTTTTTAACTGACAGCAAATAGAAATCCTTTAGTGAGATCATGGTAATTTGACAGTGTTATGATTGAGCTCAAAAAAGGTTTGTGGAGTGCACAGAAGATCGAGGTCTCCAGTTTGCCTCCTTTTAGGTCTTCTAATTTACAGGGCTCCTTAATTAACAGGGGGCAAAGCCCTTATCTAGTGGGAAAAATTTCCAAAAGGAAGTTGTAGGTGTTCTCTCCTATTAAAAATTCCTGTCACGTCAATTGTTAAAATAGAGCCTTCTGTTCGTTTACATCTTTTGGTTATTTCACATTAATTATCATCATCAGAATTCTGTAATTCCACATTTGGGATTTTACAAAGTAGGAGAGATTGCAGTTAAGTCTGCTATTGCTTTAGGTGTGAATACAGTTGACAAACCAGAGTAGATTAGGATTGTTGAAGAATTTCCCTGCCGTTGAGATCATCTGTTCTTTCTATTCTTGATAGGTGCATAGATAGCCTGACTTAAAATTCTTCCTACAGGAACACGTCTGATTTCAGGAGTAACCAATCAAGGATCCGATGAATGGTTTGCCAGTTCCTTGGAGTAATATATTTAAGAGTTAAGACTGCATAAGGAGTCCACACCACCACTTTTACCTTGTCATTGGTGGTGGTGACAGAAATGGATTCCAATCTCCCATACAGGAAGTTGGCTATCTGACAGTCTCACTGGTAGCTTGCCAGCAGAGCCTCACATTGCCCCTTCTTGGCTTTCTGCAAAGATTTCCAGAGCTGCTTCCAGAGAATGCTGTAATCTCCAAGGCCCACTTGATCCATGCGAGTAAGTGGCTATGACCCCAGTCCTGCCCTTCTTTTACTGCCCAATATTATCCAAGGAGCATGTCATGGCAGGGTAAGTCTATGAGAGGCCAATCCTAATATGAAATTCACAAAGCCTTTTTGCATTAAGGGGGGAAAAAGCCTCAAGTACATATCAATCATCTCCAAATTGCAGTTATAAACTTACATTATATAAGGAATAGCAGCAGAGAAAGGCTAACCTTTAGAGTCAGTGGGCAAAAACAGCCAATGGAAAAAGTGCCATCCCACCCTTCTTCTTGGTTCTTTTATCTAGGGTTTCATTCAAGACTCCAAGACTGAAAAAATGAGAATAAAGCCCAGAGGGAAACTGCTGAAAATCATAGTCTGGGGCAACATGAAAAGCTGTAGATAAAAGCAGAAAACGGATTGGAAAAGAATCAGACCTCTACAACATTTTCTCCTTCGGTGGGCAGCTCTGAAATCAAGACCTCCATTTGGAGTTGTTCTGATTTTTTAATTATGGGGCAATAAACCCAAGTGCCAGCCAGGGATTTAAAAAACAAAATTTAAAAAAAAAAAAAAGAAAGAAAGAAAGAAAGAAAGAAAAAAATTGTACTGGGAATTGAACTCAGGACCTTGCATTTGCTAGGCAGGCACTTGTGCCACTGATCTATATCCCTGGCTGGCCAATTAAATTACCTCTTGCTTTTAGGGTAATTGAAGACACATAGGAAAGGAGTGTTTGAACACCTGAGGTTCTCAAAAAATGAGTATTCAATGGTTCCATTTCTCTTTACATTAAAAGTCAGACTTAAGATCTGAGTCTTAAGAGTTACTAAAGGATGAAAGGAATACGAGAGTGCTTTGAACTTGATAAGCTGGTGCTCAAACTTGGTGTTTACACAAGTTGCAGGAAAAACCAAAAACAGAGAACAACAGAAACAATCCAGGAACCTGACATAGCCTGGATACAGCAAGTTTAATGTCTCTGTTGTACACAGAATTGACACCCATTCCCCTCCTTCCTCATCCTTATGCTGGCAATAGTATATATGCTAGAAAGTTTGACTCTCAGAGTCAGTGAATAAAAGGATGGGCCCATACCCCTTCATAGCTCTTTTTAAAGAGGATACTTATAGTTTACAGGATACCCTGATGGAAAGGCAAGGGCAGAGGGTAAGAGACTGTTGTACATTTTTAGTCCATTAGTCTTTGGCAAGCCCCACCAAGGCCAAATTCACCGGGGACACCCAAAGGCAGTTGGGGTCAAGTATGCAAACCCAAATAAACATACTGGATTAAGAAAAAAGAAATCTAGAAACCCTTGAAGAAAGGGCTTCACCCTGAAAATTGGAAAATGCCTGGAGATGAGAGTGGACAGTCAGTGTAGTGATCTCTGCTGCTGTGGGCCTGGGCTGGGGCTTAGGAGTTGAGCCAAGGATGCCGGAGACACTCGGCAGCGGTGGCTCTCTTCTCGGGGATGAGCTCCAACATGGGCAGTAAGAAGTCTGTGAAGCCAGCCGCCTCTTCCTGAGACCACTCATACTTCTCCACCAGAACCTCAAAAAGGCCCCAGGGTTTCAGCTTCGTGATATGTTTCAGGTCACCTGTGGTGAAGACAGTACAAAAGAAACTGACCAACAAGTGGTAAGATTCTCTTTGGAAATCCAGGAACTAACCCGGCAGTCTATAAAGATTGCGACCAGAATCTAATGTTCCATTCATGAAACACTTCTCTAATCTTAAGAAATGCCTCATTTTTCATACAGTCCTAAAAACTTGCAATGTTTTTTCCCTCTATTCCAGAATTTTCTGGTCCCAATTCAATGAGGGTATGCCTGGAAATCAGGAGCTAGTTATTTACTACAGTAAATACTAAATGCCTACATCCTCATATACAAGGTCTGTACATGGTCTGACATGATGTCACAGCTAGGCTATTTCATATATTAAGAATTTGCCCTGTAATGTCAGCTACTCAGAGAGCAGAAGCAGGAGGATTGCAAATTCACGGCCAGCCTGGGCAATATGGCAAGACCCCATATCAAAGAAAAATGAAAAGGGCCAGGAATATAGTCACGCAGTAGAGCATTTGTGTGGCTTGTATGAGGCCCTGGGTTCATCCCCAGCACCACAAACAAATCCCCAAACCGTACTTTGCTTGTGCTTTTTTTTTGCAGGGAGGCCTCAGTAATCTAGTAAAGTTGCTTCAAAATGAGGCAGTGATTAAAAAATAGGTAACACCAGGTCAACATGAATAAAAGTAACAAGATCAAAAGAACCCTATATGGATTTCAGATATAGTAGCATCATACACAGAAACATCAACGTAACTGCTTCTTAAGTGATTTGAGCTGCAGACTGAACTCGGGGCCTTGTGAATGCCATGCAAGTCCTCCACTTCTACACTCCAGCCCTGAGGTGACACTTAGGGGAGACAGGGTCTTGCAATGTTGTAAAGTGGTCAAAAACTCTTGGGCTCAGGTGGTCCTCCTACTTCAGCCTTCTGATTAGCTTGACACTACAAGCATGCACTGTTGTGCCCGGCTGAAGTGGTAAGTTTTTAAGACAGTCTCTTTTTTGGTAATCTTGGGGAGTAAACCCAGGGCCTTTGCACTGAGCCATATCTCCCATTCTTTTTTAAATTTTGAAACTAGGTTTAACAAGTTACTAAGTTGCCTAGGCCAGATCAAACCTGTGATCCTTTTGCCTCAGACTCCCAGTGCTGGGATTACAGGTGTGTGCCAGCCACTAGGCCTGGCTAAGTTGGTCAATTATTAATGACTATTAAAATAAATGCTGCCGAGAACCTTTTCACATATGACATTTATTTGGACTCTTCTGAGAGCAGTAAATAGCTCTTTAATCACCTACTTGGCGCGCGCGCACCCACACGCCCACACCCACACCCACACCCCCCTTAACCTGACTTTTGCACATAAGGAAGAATTCTTTGAAGCATGTCACCATTTTCCTATCCAAAAAGTTTAGGGAAGAGTAATGAATGTTTCTGAGGATGCCTCTGTCCAGGGTTGAGAAAAATCATTTTTCTAAGCACTCATGCAGAGGTGGGAAGGAAAAGGGGAATCATGACACAATGGAGAAAAAAGGCCAATGGTATTCTAGATCATCTAGGATATGTTTCTGTATGTATTTTACTTGGAATGCATAAGAAATATATTATCAATTCAAAAACTCAAAGTTGAGTTTTATTGTTTCTTTCATTAACATGTAATCAGATAATTTTACAAAACCGAAAAGTGCTAAGTCATTATATGACTCATGTGTCAAGAGTGATTCTGTTAGGCGACAGGATACAAAGGTAAGATGTAGTTCCTGACATAAGGAGCTTAAACTAGACTCCGTTCCCTTCCGTAGGGACAGCTCTTAGATCAGATGCCAGCCCAGATCTGTCCATTTTCCAGAAGTGTTGTAGCAAGAGTGAGCAACTGGCTATGTCTCAGGCACCAACAGTACTAACTGAAAACAAAGATACATTTTTGTTTGCACTGAGAAACCAGCACACGGATACACAGTGCGGAAGCGCAGCAGCTAGGATCTGGCGCCGCCACCAGCCTCTGTCCCCCTGACCACGCCCTTGTACATCTTTCTGTTACATCACACTTCAGCATTCATCATGGTAAGCTCACCTTTCTTAGGATATTTGGAAGACGTACCCGTTTGTACCTACCTTTTCATTCTGAAACGCTTTTGCCCCCTCAGTGTCTGGAAACACACACATTTGTTTTACCTTTTTTGGTGAAAAATTCCTTGGAATATTTTCCTGCCACAATGAGCTTGCGAGGCACCTTTCCCAGAAGTTCTATGATCAACGCAATGTGATCTGCATGTTTCAGACATTTCAAGAGGGGAGAAAAAAGAATAGATAACAAGAGTAAAAAACGCAGCTCTAGACATTCAAGAGAAAGAATAACACACACACCTCTTTGTAAGGCATTCTAGGCTTACTTTCTATCCTAAATGGGAAGAAGTGGACTATACCCATCTAACACTGACTCAAAAAAAAAAAAAAATAATAATAATAATAAAATAAAATAAGATAAAAATTTGAGGACTTGAGTGATGCTCAGTTTCCTGAAGCTGCATCCCTGGAGTCTAGAGGGAAACTCAGGCTAGCAATTCTACCTCCGTGAAGTCCTATGACTATCTCTCTGAGAGCAGTGTCCTGGAATTCTGCCTATCAGCTCTACAATGTGCACAATGTGGTCTAAAATGGAAGGACAAGAAGAACAAGACCAAGGACAAGCTGAAAAGAGCTTTGCTTATGAATAGTTTTTTCAAGAACCAGCTGTGTAAAAGTTACTCAAATAAAACCAAGGATACGCAAGGGGAGCCTGGGAAAGCCAGGGATTATTTCAGGTGGCTGGCACCCGCTCACAGCGAGCAGGCTGCACTCTGGGTTTGAGGTCTATGTCTAACTTTGCTTTTATTGTGTTTATATATTCAGGTGAGTTTTAAGGTAAGGAGTGCCAACGTGCTGTAGGAGCTTTAGAACTGTTACTAATTTATAACACTGTTCTAGGCTTCAAGGGGTAATACATCACTGCACTCAGGAGCGCTCATGACAAAGTCACAGTTTGACATAGTTAACTCACATACGACTAAGTTTTTACAGCCATTCTGTACCTTATTTTAAAGATGCGAAAAATGTAACTTCAGAAAAATGAAATGGCCTACTAAAGCTTTAGGACTAAATGCTGGAACTCAAATGATAACCCATACCTAACTGTGTTCAACCCAGAGGTCCCCACCCATCACAGTTCTTAACAAATTAGAAGTCAGCACAAATTGACTGTAGGCCACTCACACTTCCAAGTCCAAGCGACTTATGTAGCTGTCCAAGCATGCATATGGACTGCAAGGACTGCCAGGGATGTGGGCAGACAGCGAGGGAGAGCCTGCTCCCAGCCAGCACTCAAACCTCAAAGCAGCTCTGCTCCTTTTATGCTTCAGGTGACAGAAAGTAAGCATACGAAGAGGTTTTGAAAAAGCAATACCTCACAGTCAGACAAGAGCTTTTTATAAACACTGTTGTTGTTTGTTTGGTGGGGAGGGCGGAACCAGGGATTGAACTCAGGCCCTTACACTAGCCAGGGAAGTGTTTATTCTACTGAGCCATCTCCCCGGCCCCTATAAACATCTATAATCCTATAGTTATAAAATCATTGAGAGATAGACAGAGACACAGACACAGACACAGACGCAGACAGACAGACACTGGCTCTCTCTCTCTCAAAGCATTCAGTGGTGTTATTTTAAAAGGGCTCGATAAATTCACTATAATCTATGAGTATTGATTGAATTTATGTTTGGTTACAAGTACATGGCTGCCAAGATATTTTTGATGTTAGGCAAGACCTGAAGATAAATGTCTTTGCACAAATTAACATTAACAATAACCAAGATGAGAATACTAAGGACTAATTAAGACTATAGTTTCTTTTACTGTAAGCTTCTATATTTCAATTAAAAAAAATGTATTTGGTACAAGGTCTCACTATGTAGCTCAGACTTGTAGTGATCCTCCTGTTTTCAGCCTCCCCAGTGCTGGGAATACAGGCATTCGTCACCACACCCGGACTTGTGCCCTGGCACAAGGCCATCGCGGCATGAGGGACCACGATTGAACCCTGGTCCCTGTGTTTGCCAAAGCAGGCACTTAGTCTGCTGAGCTATCTCACTGGTCAGCTAAGCTTGTATATTAGTAATGATTCTTTTAAAATTTTCCTATATCAAGCCTGCACTTGTAAGTTAAATTGAAGTAAAATATTACAAAGGGATTTGATCTACTGATTACCAATACTGATTAATGAAGGAAGGAAACATTAGGATCTAAATATCTAGGGAAGGTGCTGAGCTATATACCTGGCCCTGTTTCGTTCTTGGGATTTTTTAAATATATAATTTAATTTTGGGTCCTAGTCAATCTAATTCTAGCTAGTATGTGTATACTGCTACATACATTAATATTTATAACCAGGGGTAGTAAGAGAAAAGAAATGAACTGCTCCTCCCAAACAGATGTCAGGGCATTTAAAAAACACTATCAACACGTAACTCTAAACTTATAACCGGGGGGGGGGGGGGGACGACCCCCACACAAAGAAAGGGGGGGAACCAAGTATGCATAAGGGTAGTAATTACAGTACCTTCTAAGAAGAGGCATGCATAAATATCACACACAGATATGAACATGTCCAAACCATACCTACCAAAATAGGCACTTAGCTACGGGAATTAGCTCAATGTCTCCCAAACAACAGTTTGGGGCACATTAGCAGCTAACCTACTCTAACATTCCTATGAATACTCGAGGGGGCATGTTGAGGAGCAGAGTGTGCCTGGCGGGAGCTCAGGAAGCACATGTTCTTCACTGGACTGCGCTTCTGCTCCCGCACAGAGACCCTCCTTATGCCTGTAAGCAAGACAAATGTTCCCCATACAGCATAAAATGATCAAACATTTCTCTAACCATTTTTTTCCCCTCATTCACATTAACTCCAGTAGTTACATGGATGGCTCACAAAGGAAAATGAGACCCAGCTGTCTGCTCCCAGGGCCTCTCAGATGGAGCAGCCTGACAGCCTGGCTCTTCCCACAGGGTACCACAAAATGTCACCCATTATATTTTGTTTTTAAGTGGAATTCTAATTATCAGTAACATTTTAAAAGAGGGCCGGCCAAATAGCTCAGTGGATTAATGCACCTGCTTAGGCAGATGCAGGCACCAGGAGCTCGATCCCTGGGCCTGCCCCAAGGTTCACTGAGACGGGCGATTGATACTGGGCATGGTGGCATACGCCTGCAATCCCAGCTCTTGAGAGGCTTGTAAACAGGCAGATCACTAAAGTCCAATCTACACAGTGAGACCCCGTCCACCCTGTCCTACAATAAAAAAAAAAAAAATAAAACGAAAAATGAAAATCCTGGTGTTACATGATTTATATTAACACAGCCTCTGCACTCAACTAGTGTTCACAGATTATAATTACTGAGCTCCAAATAAAGTTGGAAGCACAAATGAGCAAGAAGTTGATGATAAGGTAAATTCAAGCTAGGTAAAGACTGAATCTCTGTCTTAGAGCTTAAGCAATTCGTGACTCTGTCTAACCTTGTATGAGAGTATGAGAGCTCTGTAGTATTTTCTAAGAGCTATCTGGTATAGGTGACACGGAATTTGGGAAGGAGAAGGGCGTGTGTTTATCGGGCGCATGATGAGTAAATGATGTTAGCCACACACAGACATAATCGAGGGGACTCACCTTCATCTCGGGTGTACTCTTCTCCTGAATGAGGCTCAAATAAATAATCACCAGTAGCCAATTCAAAGGCCTACAAAAAAAAAAAAAAGAAAATATACAAAAGTATAAAAAAACCCAAAGCCTTCCAAAATCTGACTCAGTATCACATTTCTTTTTCCTTGAAAAAAACCTATAGGTGACCATTTTTAAAAAAAGTTTATCACTGAAGAATTTTCCGGGCCTGCCAGACAGCTCAGCAGATTAAAGCACCTGCTTTAGCAGAGGAAGGGGTAGGTTCAATCCCCTGCCTGCTGTGCTGGCTCTGCCCCGGAGCAAGCTGGGCATGGTGGCACATGCCTGTAATCCCAGAGCTTGGGAGGCTGAAAACAGGAGGATCACTACGAGTCTGATCTGTGTAGTGAGACCCTGTAGACCTTGTGCTAAATACATTAAAAGAAAAGAAAGAACTTTCCTTCACATCTGTATTTTAATAAAATGGAAAAAAAAAAACCTCTAAAACAAAAAGGAAAAAAACTCACTTTTTACCAATGTGTGTGTCACTCTGTGGGGAAAGAACAAGTTACAATAATAAAACCTAAACAACCTAGCAGAGAACAAGAAGAGATTAGACAATGGGTACAAAGCAATACATACATCTAAGTTCTAGTGCTCTGAGGCCCAGAAGAGTAAGTAACACTTTGTATATTTCAAAATAGCAAGGAGAGAATTTTGAACGTTTTAACCACAAAGAAATGACGTCCATGGTATAGTCACGCACACAGTAACAACTCAAATGTGATCACTATACACTGCATATGTTTGCTGAAAAGCCGCTCTACTCTCTGTATGCTGTTATTACATGTCAATCAGAAAACCCCACGCTAACAACAGACCCCCAGGGCAGTTCAGCCCTCGTACCAGGTCAGTACCATCACAGCCAGGACAAGAAAGACACGAAAACCTCTTGCATACTAGATAGTGTTCCAGGGGGCTTTAGGTGATTTCTTTTGGAATAAGTGTCAAGAAGTATGGAAAGGACAGCATCTAGATAGTAAGCACAACAATTTCTCACTGATTATAAGTGGATTTTCAAAAAAACCCAAACAAATGGCCTTATTAGCCAGGCATGGTAGAGCATCCCTGTAACTCTAGCATCTGGAAGGCTGAGACAGGAGGATCAAGAGTTTGAGCTCTGGTTGGACATTTACTCTGACAACTTACTCCTACTCAGTCTCAAAATGAAAAAGTGAGCAAAAGGGCTGAGGGACGTAGCTCAGTCTACAGTTCCTGGGTTGAATCTCTAGGACTAATATTGCAACAAATGACAAAAACGAAACCAAGACCAAACAAACAAAAAAGTCCCATTAATATGAAAGTGCTGTTATGGTCATACTCCAGATCATCCCAAGAAGGGGAGGTGCATTCATGACAAGGTAGCCTTTCTCTAAACCGTACTGCTTGCCTGCCTGTACCACGGCCCAGAGCGAGGCCACGCTGCCAGAACTTCAGGAACCAAACACTTGTCTCTAAATGCCAGGGAGGCTACGGTTTCTTGGGCAGTAGAGCTTATTTTATGTTGTTCAGCTCATTATGAAGCAGAAGCACACCAGAAGAGATCTTAACTTTTATTTAACTTTTTCAAAATCTCTTATAAGTAGAGTTCAATATGATAATCATTTTTATTTTTATTTTATGTATTACAGGATCTACTGGGTCTCACTACATAGACTGGGCTTGTAGTGATTCTCCTAGAGAACTGGGATTTTCAGCCTCCCAAGCCCTGGGCTTACAGCCTGCTGGGGACCGAACCCCAGCTAGTGCACCCTGCCTAAGCAGGTGCTTGGTCTGCTGAGCCATCTGGCCGGCCCAGTAAGTGAGCTCAATATGATAATGGAAGTTTCAAAACAGCTACTGTATCATACAGACTTTTCTGCCTTTCAGGCAACTAATCTGGGATTGGCGATGGTGAAGCAAAAGGGTCAAATTATAAATTCTGACAGTTTTCAGCCTTTCAACGGCCTTTCAAGTTCTAGACAGATGAAATAGGATAAATCCCCTTTGCGCCCATCTGTTACACTTCCATTGCTCCAAATACTTGAGTAAAAATGAAAACTGTACTCTAGTTTTTTACTATTGTCACTCAGCAATAATAAAAAGATGTACTTTGCTCTATCTTCTAAATATGTATAGCTGCATCCACTGAACTCCCCACAAATCCTGTCCTAAATTTATTTTAATTTTTTTGGCAGAACTGGGGATTGAACTCGGGCCCTCGTGCTTGCCATGGAAGCGCTTACTGAGCCATCTCCCCGGCTCCTGTCCTGAATTTTAAGCTTTTTTTTTGCGGAACCAGGGATTGAACTCAGGCCCTTGTGCTTGCCAGAGAAGCGCTTATTCCACTGAGCCATCTCCCCAGCCCATCCTGAATTTTAGAGGAGGTTTATTTTTTGTTTTTGGTGCCAAGGACCGAACCCAGGGCTTCCAGCTTGTTAGGCAATCACTGTCCTGAATTTTAGAGATGAAAAAATAAAAAATGAGAAGGAAAGGACCCAGAATATAATTACTACAAAAAAGTAGTTACAGAAGGTAGAGAACTGGGAACAGTATGTGTTTTTCCCACTGCAGGAGAGAAAAGGCCAGTAAAAGGGAAGATGATCTCATCCTGTCAGTTAGGTGCTTTGTACCCAGGCCAGTGTTTGGAGATGGCGATGTTTAATTTTTAATGCCTTCCTACTTGGTAAGTAACCTCTCAACTTGCCTCTACATCTCAGAAAGGGTCCTAACCTTTCTGACAACTACCTGCACTGGATGTAGGATGATCCATCCTTCTGGGCGTTTCTGATAGGCCAGGGTTTATTTCTGACCAAAATTAAAGCAATGTTTTCCATGTTTACTGGCAGAATGAGAGAAATTTAAGAATAGGGCTCAAGTTTTCCATGGTATTATCTCATGTCAGGTAAGTGCTTTCTACCCCTTGCTCAAGAAAATTCCATGTGAACTATGGGGTAAGGCTATTTTCTGCTTTATCATCTTGCCTTACCTAACACTGAAAACTAACAAGCAGGGCTGCCTGTCCTCAAACAAAACAGGAATGTGAATGTAAAAAAGAAACCAAAGTTTTCACTTTCTTGCAGCAAATAATTCATTACTAAGAACCTTATTTGCATAAAGCCTCTCTGTTTCCTTTTACAATATTGGGGTTGAACTCGGGGTCTTTGCATGGTGCTTTATTTACCCAAACTTACCTAACTTCAGGCAGACCTTTATCTTTAGAGGTATACACAAGGATGTACTTTATATGGCCCTACCACGTCAACAACATGGCCTTTACTACATTTAAAGACAAAAGGTTTTAAAACAGTTTGGAGACTTGCTTGCTTCAGTAGCACATATATGCTAAAATAGTTTGGAGTTGCCAATTTGTCCTTTTTCTCACTTTTCCCCCAGAATACTAAATATTAATTGAGGGCTTACTGTACACTTCTGTTAATTCATTTGATTGGTTGTTAGTACTTATTACCTACTGTCATATAAATATAATGTTCGATCTTTATCCCTGTTTCCTGGAAGCCTTTAGACCCTTGGAATTTCCAAGAGTTCAGAGTCATTCAGAATGTTATTGACTCTTGGACAGAACCTCTACATTATCAAGACGCCAGATGGCAGGACCCCTAGATAAATGGTGAGAAGATCAAGACCAAGTATTGATTAGAAGGTTGGGGTTTTCTGGCCTCCCAATCTCCAGGGAAAGGGGCTGCACAATGAGCACAGTCACATGGCCAGTAAGTTGGAACATCTCTAGCTAATGAAATCTCAGTATCGGAGGCTGAGTGAACTTCCTTTGCAGGTGACACATACCAGTATCTCTGTATCCTGAATGCACGGCAGCTTCCCATCTGGTACTCTCTCAGACTCACCCTATGTATCTCATCTTGTTTTGTAATCTTTATAATGAAACTGTAAACCTAGTACTTTCAGAAAGGGTAGCAGAAACTTCTAAATTTATAGCTAGCTGCTCAGAAGTGCTGCAGCTTGTGGATTCCGAAACTGAAGGCCAGAGTTGAAAACAAAGGCATTCTTGTGGGAAACTATACCCTAATCCATCAGCTCTGCAAACACTCTGGGTTAGCATTAGAAATGTACTGCAAGTTCCTACTCAAAACATGCCAGCCAAACCTAGAGAAGATTCCTGCTGGTACAATGCTATAAACTTATGGGAGAGAAACAAGTAAACAAATGTACAAGACAGACTGGTAAAGGAGGGAGGATCATGAGGCATATACTCCATTTCAGGAAACGCTACACCACATTTCAATGTAAAGCTACTTGTGAAATCATTTAGCATCAACTAAATGTTGACTACCTCTGTAGTTACTCATTAGGGAAAAAGAAGCAATTTATGAATCCATGAACGACTGTGCTTTATACCTTATGAGTTGTAAAAATGTGGAGATACTCAATTCTGCAAAGAGATCAATGCTAAACAGTGTAAGTACTTTCCTTTCCAATCCAAGCCAACAATGCCTCATAGCAACTGCTTTCAATTCAGACTTCTCTGGACAAAGGATTTAGTTTCTGTGCTAAGTCACCTATCAGTTCTTTTTCTGCTTGCTAACATGTTGGTCTACTGAAATTAGCAGACAGACAAGGGTCTGAAATTACCACATGACAAGTGAAGGCCAAGGGTGACCAGACATTACCATGCATGCCGTGCTCCAGATGTCAGCTGGGGTATTATAGCCAGATCCTATCAGAACTTCCAGGGAGCGATACTGCCTTGTTTGAATATCTTCAGTGAAGTGTTTGTGCTGAGCAAATGGAAAAGGAAACAGCATTTAAAAATTCATAATCTAAGAAGTAACAAGTTAGGACTGCTTAATAATGGAATAAAATGACTAGATTTCCCCCTAAAACTTCCAATCAGCTAATTTCTCAAATGTCATTGATGTTAGCTTGAAATATTCCTTTGCCATACTCACTGCCTCTATATTATCTTTGCCAACAGATGAATCCAAATTTAATATTGATACATATTTAGTTTGATGCATAATTTAGTGAGCAACAGTTGCACAGAAAATGAAAAATTACCTCAAACAAAAATTATGTTGCTTGGGGCCGGGAAGATGGCTCAGTAGAGTAAGTGCTTCCCTGGCAAGCGCAAGGGCCTGAGTTCAATCCCCAGTTTGCAGGGGGGAAAAAATCCAAAAATTATGTTGCTCATTTGCCTACAATTAGTAAATTGTACCTCAACAATTAAACACACTAATCTTAGAAAAACAGAAAACATTAAGCTGTGAACAGGCAGTTAAAAAAACCAAAAAACAAACAAAAAAACAAACAAACACCTGTTGGGTGTTTCATGAATAAAATGGATCAAATGGAGAAACTTTTAAAGTCAAAGTCATTGAAACCTGGGCATGGTGACCCACACTCTAATCCTAGCACTTGGGAGGCTGAGATAAGAGGACTATTGGAAGTTCAAAAGTTCAAAGCCAGCCTCAACTACACACTGAGCTCTGTCTCAAAAAAAAAGAACAAACAAAAGGTAAGCTAAGAGAGAACATAATTTTGTATGTGTGGATTTTGTTTGGATCCTGTTTCAAACACAAAGTTAAAAGAATTTGTATAGGGGAACTATGGAAACTAAATTGTATCCTTTTTTCCCAGGTGTGACAATGGTGTCAAGTTACCAAAAAGAATAATCTCTCAAAAAACCATATTTACAAGTGAACTAAGATATCTGGGAAATACTTCCAACCATCCAAGAAACGTGGTAAGGCTGAGATACAGATGCAAACCCCAGTGTGCAGAGATGACGAGCAGGAGGTGTGCCAAGAGTCTGGAGGCCAACGGAGGCTACACCTGAACTACAAAGGGAAACTTTCAAGAAACAGAAAACAAAAAGGAGATACAGATGAAAGCAGACTGGCAAGCGCTGACAATGGGTGGGTGACACGAGCACAGAGGTGCGGGAGTGTGCTATTCACAGAAGTTTTCTGTGTACGTCTGAAATTTTCCATGACAAGCAAAAAAATGAATAATGAAAAAGCTTTATATAAATTATACAAAGGAAAATACCAAAAATCTGTACAGGAAAGTCATGATAACAGTCTTTTTTATTTAACAATCTCTAATCTTGTTGAAATTAAAAAAAAAACAACAAACATTGTATTACAGAAAGGAAAAATTAGGAAGAGAGCTTCAGGTAGAAAGTTTAACAGAAAGAGCAACAAACACCAAACTACCAAGCCGACTCCCTCTGCCAGACACAGGGGAGCGCGCTACTGCACACTTGTGAACAGGACCGTGAGACTGCACGATAGCTGAGGGCATCGCTGCAGTGATCTTGTGGCCAGATTTAAAGATAGCACTGGAAATCTGAACAATGGTTGTGGGGAAGAATTAAGTCAGAGGACATTCACTAAAAGAATAAGCAGAATTTAAAAATTCTGTGGTTACATGGGGGAGACCAAAAGATTAAAGAAAGCTGAAAGAACTTTGATCCAGAGACTTAGAGCTAGCTGAGATGGGTAACCCAGAGAGGAAAGTAGTTTTTTCAGTGGGGGTCAGGCAGACAATGAGCCTGAAATGACTTAATCTGACACAGAGAATAGCAAAGTAAAAGCAATAAAATTTATAAGCTGGAAAACTGGGACAACAGGTTAAGTATCTCTTTTGACCCAAAAAAGCCACTGTATGTGTTTTGTTTTTTTACACCACATTACTCCTCCTCACAATGCTCCAAATGAGGTGGAATCTGCTTGTCTCTGAGGTGGGGCTGAGGGTGGGAATCAGCCCAGGCAGGAGTCTAAAACATCTTTTTAAGGAACAGAGCTGGGGAGGGGGGGAAGGAAGTATGTGACGTTGTCTAACACTCCCTTTCCTGGCCCAATGACTACCTGGTTTATTCTCTGGAATGGAACTAACAAGGATCCTAGAGGATGCCTACAGCCAAAGGGAGAGTACTACTTTAAAAACTAGAAAATTAAATATGCTGAAGTATCTTTTTGTTTAACTCAACTCCCAGAACACTAGTAGCCAGGCAATAACTCTTTGGGTATAAGATATACAGATTATAAATCTTGGGTAGGGAATATAACCAACAAAGAAAAAAGGAGCCAAACATCTTGACATGTGAGGAAGCAATCCAACAGCCCAAACACTTGTTTTTTGTGGTTTTTTTTTGAGACAGTCTTGCTCAGGCTGGCTTTAAACTTCTGGTAATCCTCCTGCCTCAGCTTCTGGAGTGCTGGGATTACAGGTGTGCACCACTATGCCCACTTCCAAGAATTGTTTACAGTGAATATCAATTTATAAGGCCTACTTCATTCAGTCAAATAATCTGTTTAGTGGTCCTAAGCAGAAAAAAAAAAAAAAACACCTTCTGAACTTTGGGCCCTG